GGGGGGGAGAACTCCGGGAAGGGAAAACACCAAGAGTGGGAACCAAAAAAACCAATACAGAAGGCGGGAAGGAAAAACACCAATCCAGGAACTGGAAACACCAAGACCTGGGAACCAGAAACACCACGGGAACCGAAAAAAACAATCTGGGAAAAGGAAACACCACAGGAAGGGAAAACACCAATCTGGGAACTGAAAACACCCAACCCGAAGCGCCCCGGTCTTCGGCTTTCCGACCGAAACATCGAGTGAGCTTGGTCTTCATTGATGGGGAACAGCTCAATTCCTCCTTGGACTTGAATTGGACATGTGTCTTTTTTGTCTTTCTTCCAACCATCCTGCAAGACCTCTTGAGCTACTTGCAATACTTGGCAATACTTCATCTTCCCGTTGAATGCTTCGGAAGAACCGAGGATGCTCCCTTTCGGCCCTCCCAAGTCCGCCTCTGCGACTCCTTGAGTGCGCGGCACTGCACGTCCCAACTCCGTGCCCAGCAGCGACTCCAAAATCGAATCCTCGGTGACCCAGTACAGGGGCGACACCACGGGTGACACGTGATACGGCGCGCGCGCGCGACACGCGCGACACGCGCAGTGGTTCCGAAGAACAGGCCGAGAGGTCTCGGTGAATGATCACATCGAAAGCCCCCAGAATGGGTGCTCAACCAAAAAATAAAGAAAAACATATTTATATGTATATATATGTATATATATATATCTCTCTCTCTCTCTCTCTCTTTCGCCGTCACCGTTTGGTGACCGCGGGGGGAACGTTTTTTCGTTTGGCATCGCCCAGCGTCGCCCAAGAAGACCAAGGGAGGCTTCGAGGCGTCACACTGGAAGCGCTGACCCGAGGCCTGGGACGGAGCGCGCGGACGGCCGCACGCGCCGTGGCCGGGTTGGTGGATGAATTGAAAGCAGAAAGCAACCACTAGCTAGGGTGGTTGATGGCCAGGGGTGGTCAGTGAAAGGGTGGTCAGGGGTGGTCATGTATCAAACTAGCTAGGGTGGTCAGGGGTCAGGCTTCTGGTCAAACTGCTTGTCATGGCCGACGTGGCAGCTGCAGCGTGCCCAAGCTGGTCTCCCCCAGTGTTCGGTGCCCACCTTGGGCACTTGCCCACCGTGTTTTCTTGGGGACCGACTCTGCTTAGTGAGACACACCAGGTCAACGTAGGGCAAATATTTGGTTTGGGATGTTCACATGGCCCCGGCAACAATGCTATTTGTGGAAATCTGGCTGCACCTTGGCTGCAGCTGGATCAATCTGGCTGCACCTGGATCTGCAACTTGTGAACATCTGGAATACAACGATTCCCTGAAAGAAGGGATTTGCTTGGGGGATAGATCATACGATATCATACGTGGAACCACAAACCTTGTGACGCTGTTCTGGCAGGTTATTGGGTGGGTTCATTTTTGTCTCAATCATAGCTGTCTCAATCATACCTTAATCACTAGCAGGGTCAAACGACCCAGCATGACCCAACCCTGGAAACATCCAAGAATCACCACCCGCCATCCTCAAGAGGCCATCAAGTACACCATGGGCCATTGTAATGAAACATAATGAAACATCGACACTCTGAACATCTTGATTGCTTCTTCTCCTTCTTCTTGTTCTTGAAAAGACCTGATGGTTTTCTCCTTGCTTAGACCCGACTCCCTTGCCCTCCTCACACTCCGCTTCCGCGGAAACCGCTTCACCGCGATCTCGCTTAACCGCGCTCCGCGCTCCGCTCGTGCCGCGCCTGGTTCCTCTCGTGCGCCTTCCACCAGGTCTCGCCGAAGTGGCGCGATCCGTCCACCGGAAGCTCCGGCCGTTCCATCTCGGAGACCTGTTCGCTGGCACTCTGGCGCCATAAGCCTCAGCTCTGGTCAAGGCAAAGCCAGGCAAGACCGATTCCCACCGGTTTCGGGCGAAAGCAACTGTATACACAGACTCAACAATTGTTGGGAATGACTCTGAACTTGGAGTCTCCGAATTTCAAGAATCCAAAGCAAAACACTTCTTCACCACACCCATGGCCTACACGACATGCCTACAACCCTCTCTTCCACCATGGAACCCCACAGAAGCACCGTGGGCAAACAGGCCATGGCCACCACAGCGGCACCAAAGCCTTTGGAGTTCACCAGTTGCATCGCAGCAGCGGTCGAACGCGACCCGCAACGCTCCGTTCCACGTTCTCTACGCTACGCCCGCTGCGTCGTCCGCGGCCGCGGCCGCGTGGAGGCGGAGCGGATCGGCGAAGGAGGGGTGACTTCAATCGGCTGGGCGTCTTGGCGAGTTGTTCTTTGTGGGGCTCTGTGGAGTGGATGTGAGTCTGGCAAGCTGAGCTGTGGAGTCATCGCTTGAGATGAGAGGCCGAAGAGAAGCGGCGCAGGAAGCGGTATTGCTGTTCAGAATACAGCTGTTAACCATGGACTTTGGAAAACACCAGCTGATCTCACCTGCAAGGCGCCGTTTGGGGTTCGAGTGCGCGTTGACAGAAAGCGAATATATTACACAACTCAATCACACCACCAAGGTGTTAGTAGCAGCTCTTGCCTTGTGTTGGGGTCCCACGCTCTTGTATGACTGCACACCAACTCCATCCAACTTCACCGGTCTACACTGATCTCGTCATAGACTCAACGACTCTCTCATCCAGGCCAACCACGGGCTGGTAGATAATATCCGAAGCTCAGTCACTAGACGTGACTAAACCAAACTAACATCATCCCAAACCGCTTCCCAGGAGGTGGGTGGAACGCCAACCACAAGGGCCAACCGCCGCCCCCCTTCCGGGAGGGGTCCGTCCGTGGTGGCAAAACAACACACCAGGCGCCACGCCCACCTGCGACTCGCCCAGCTGGATCAGCACGGGAAAGGGCAGCTCGTTGCGCAGGTAAGCACCGCTGAAGAGAGTGACCAAAACACCTGCAACCGATCGCGGCGCCAACACTGGAGACGCGGTTGGCTTGCGGGTTTTTCAAGCCGGATTTACCATGGTTTACTCCAAAAATGAACAGATGCATGGCTTGGTGAAGTTTGGACTCACAGCTGTATGCCACTCTCAGGTTTAGTGTCTGGGAATTGTCTTTACTTTTTCATGTGTCTGATCCAAAATGGCATGTGTATCACACTTTTCCTTGTGGCGACCGCGTGACTTCTTCTTGATGACTTGTAGCCACCCATAGCCATCCCATTTCCTCCGTAGCCACCGTCTTCCCGTCACCTCCACCAGGTTTGTTGAGGGTCGCCGGCACTGCCGCAACTCACCCGCCAGGCTTGCAAAGGAGCCCTCTAAGGTCAAATCTTTTTCGCCTACATTGCCTACATCCTAATAGCAGAAGGAACCTACTAGCGATGGCCTCCAACCTAATAGCAAACAGACATTTTTTATTAGAAATCTTAAAGTTTTTTTGCTCTGGTTGCCATCTGGTTTGAGGCCCATGATCCACAGCACCCCAAACGGAAAAAAAAGAACATCCTTTGAACCAGGCTGCAAGCCGTCCGCCCGAATCGGGCACACACAGCATCCCTTTCCGACCAAATGGTCAACCCCCGCTGATTCCCGGCTCGCCTCCGTTGACCGCATCGCCTGCGAGGGGCTGAGAATGGCTGAGC